GGCACCTCGGGGCCTGGCGGTTCAGAGCCCCGGCACCTCGGGGCCTTGGAGTTCAGAGCCCCGGCACCTCGGGGCCTTGGAGTTCAGAGCCCCGGCACCTCGGGGCCTGGCGGTTCAGAGCCCGGCACCTCTGGGCCTTGGAGTTCAGAGCCCGGCACCTCTGGGCCTTGGAGTTCAGAGCCCAGCACCTCTGGGCCTGGCAGTTCAGAGCCCCGACACCTCTGGGCCTGGCAGTTCGTAGCCCCGGCACCTCGGGGCCTGGCGGTTCAGAGCCCGGCACCTCTGGGCCTGGCGGTTCAGAGCCCAGCACCTCGGGGCCTGGCAGTTCATAGCCCCGACACCTCGGGGCCTGACGGTTCAGAGCCCGACACCTCTACGCTCCCTGCATCAGTTATGAAAGTAAAAACCTTCCTTGAGCCCCAGCCCGTCTTTGATCATAAATGAAGCCCTGGGTGTCCCCACCCCCGGGCCGGTCTGTACAGGGCCGGGCCGGGCCGGAGAGCTGGGACCCGCCTGGTACCAGCCCCCCGGGTGGTCAGTGTGCCCTCGAGGGGGTACCAGCCTGTGCCCCCCATCTCCTATCAGACCGGGCCAGGTCTTTCGTCTCGGTTCCTACCCCCGGAGTTGGGCTAACGCCAGGTCACCCCACACGGCCTCTGTCAGGGTCTTGCCCCCTTGGTGCCAGCCCCAGCCCATGGTGTCTGGCCCGTGGGTGCCAGGCAGTGCCAGGGCCCACCAAGACAGGGCTCTCCAGTACCTCCCCGCAGCCGCCCCACGGGACCCACGCCGCTAAGGGGCACCATGCCTGGCTGGGCAGGGCAAGGCAAGGGGCAGGCATGTCCCTGCGCCCGGCTGCTGCCCACCTGGGGCCTGAGCCCCGCCCCTCCACCCACCCTGGGGGGGCTCTGCCCCTCCCTCTCCTGGTGGACATGTGGGATTGGCGGGGGGGGCGTGTCGGCAGCAGGCCAGGCCCCAGCTCTCCTGCTGGGCCCCTGCGTCTCGGGGGGACTGCTGCTGGGAGTCTGAGGCCTCTGGCTTTAGCTGGGGGGATCCCCCAGATCTAATGGGGGGGTGCACAGTTACCCCCCGGGG